GTTTAGGAAGATTCCTCTGAAGATGATTGAGTTGACGATGATGATTCTGTAAATTAGTGGGCAACAGTTTGTCAACTGCAAGCTACTAGTTGCCCGCAGGGAGCCAATCAGCAGGTCTCATAACTTTTACTAGAAATCAGATACATTTTACCACCTTTGTAGACGTAGCTCTCAGTGTAAATGAGGTTTGAGATCCCTGTTGTAAATACAGACACACTCTGGGTTACGATGAGGTTATGGTCTAATTAACCTATCGTAAGATGAAAATGCATTTTAATACAGTACACCTAACCCAGCAAACATCATAGCCTAGCCTAGCGTACCTTAAACATGCTTGGAATGTTAGCCTACAGTTGGGAAAAATCATTAACACAAGCGCTACAGTTGCAATGGAGATTATTCAACCCCCTTAGCTGCAAGTCTTGGTGATGTGCATAAAATATTATAGAAAATATATAAATTAAAGCCTTAGTAAACAGACGAAAAATACATATCTAAGGGATTCTGCAAACATGATTGAGTTCACTGATACTTCAAAGAAAAATATCTATTTTTTGTCACAAATGTTCATGTACTGTATGAAGTTATTTAACCACAAACTCAGTGTTTTGTGGAGCAACCTTTACACTTTATAATCTCCAATCCGCATCTTCTGAATGTGCTCACGTGCTTCTGACACCCATTGGTTGGAATCATAGCCCATTCCTCATCTGCAAATGGGCCTAGTTCATTTTCTTTGGTTTCTGTGCTGCCATCATCCCCTTTAAATCCCACCAAATATTTTTAATGGGATTTATAATTCTTTGAATTTAGATGGCCACTCAAGGACATTCCAGCACCGATCCTTGAACCAAGCTTAGACTTTAAGGTATGTAGACTTTAATGTTTGGCTGGGAATCATTTTCTCACTATTACCAAGCTTCAATTTAAGCATTTGAAGTCACTTTGTGTTTCTCCAGAATGGCTCCCACAAGAAGACTGAGACACCTCCATACTTAGCCATGGGGATAGTGTTCTTCTTGTCATCTGGGGGTAGGTCAGCATGCAGTAGCCCTGGGGTTAGGGGGTAAGGGCCTTGCTCAAGGGCCCACAGACATGTGACTAGTCAGTTGAGGCTGGGTCTCACACCAGTGACCTTCCACTCACTAACACAGAGAGCCACTTACCGCCTTACCTTCTGTATGACCGACACATCACTGATCCATGGGTCGAGACAGTTCCAGTCCAGTCGTATCGCTCCATAAGCTCGTCCACATTCCTTCTGACATATTCACAATGACACTTAAATGCAATGTAGTGAGATATGAAACCATTGTTCTTCTTACTGTTTGCACCAGTACTTTGCTCCTGCCTTTGTCAGTGACGGTTCAAGTTACATATGCCACGATTATGACCGATGCTTTAATAAACCGATACCTTCGCTTACCGCTAGAGGGGTACAGACACAGCAAATGCAGAGCGCAGCGAGGAACTACTGGATGCGCAGCCAAGTAACAGCGATAATGTTGCAGCTCAGGCAGGCCTTAGAGACCACAGTGCTACGCTCCGAGCCATGAATTCAGAAATTGCAATTTATTAAACAAATAAATTGTTAAATAACTTTAATATGCAAAACAGTTGATGATGTATTACAACTGCATTCTTTCTTTTTAAGGTAAATAAAACTGAATAATGTGTAAAATATGGTAATTATTTTACTATAAAACCAAACGAAACGATTATAATATCATGAATCCCTAAAATAAGTAGACAGAAGATAACTCAGATGTATTTGAACTAATACTGGCGAAGTTTAAGAAATCTGCTGTTTACATTCTTTGCGATGCTGTACTGGATAGCGCTGGATAGAAGATGGGAAACTGGATATTAGTGCCGGCCAACGTCATAATCGGTGCAAATCCTGGAAAACTCCTTTGTGCGAAAAGGACACTATCGGTACTATCTTCTTATTGCAATCAACTGCTTGTTAAAAAAAAAACCGTCAGTATGCACATTCCACTAATCGGAGCAAGGCAGGTGTGTCGGGTCAAATGGTTTCCTAAAGTACTTACCTTTGCTGGTATAAAAATAAACATTAGGAAGTGTGCATTAGAGTTGACAGATGGCTTATGGTAGCACTTCTAATGTATTCACTTGCCCCCATGTAGTCTGGCACTTTAAATAACCTTGGGAGTAATTTCGGTCTCGGTACTATGGTAAACTCAGTATTGAAACAATATTTAAATTCCAAACCGCCCGCCGACACAGTTAGGCGGTTTTAAATGTGACCATTCAGCCCCACCGACACGCAGGCTGAAACTAATGTCAGCCGATGACAAATAGATGTAATTCAGCGCTCACTGCGCAGGAGTGTTGTAGCACGGGGATGCGGGGTAATTGATTAAAATGAGGAAAAAGTGACCTGCGACAGGCGTGGCCTGGAGCGCATAATGCCGCCTGTGTTGGGGCAAAATCCCGATCTGCTATAAGTCATTTAAAAGACATTGCTGAGCATAAGTGACAAGCTCCACTGAGTAACACGTCCTGTTAGCCTAAAGTCTTACCCAAACATGGCCGGGGATGATTAATTTTAGACTGTTAAAAGAAAATGACAGCCCAGTCGCAAAAAAACCAGGACAAAACCAGGTATTTGAAAAAAAAAAAATCGAAATAATAAAAATATGAATTTTATTTTTTTATTGAAATAATTAGGTTATTTGCTCCCTTAGTCTGAGAAAGACAGGCTACTGCAAAAATGCCCCCTGTATTTCCAGTTATATTTTTATGAGATTTCTTCAGTCACCAGAAACTTTTGGAAGATAGGTGGGTAATTTAAAGAAGAAAAAAAGAATGATGTAACCACGTAGTATCTGTAAATGTATCTTTCTAGTGAATCTGCAGTTATAAATTAACGTGTGAGTGAAGAAGGGCTCCTTCCATGATGTGAAGTCCAGAACCTGAAATAAAGGGGAGATTCAGATAAATGCATGATAAATTGATGCATTTTCATCATAAGCGGTAATATGTTTTTAGAAGCATAGGGACAGGACAGACAAGGCAGGCAACTGTTTGGGGCTCCAAGCTGGGAAGCCCACCCGAGAGTGGCTGATTATATAGTGTATTGCAACGACACATCAGATTTTTTTTGTGCATTATATGTCTTTCACAAAAGTGAAATTAAATGTTATGGCTTTATCAGATTATCTTTGTTGATATTATTAATTTAGACTTCACACTAAAATTATGGTAATAGGCCTAAATTTTGCCTCGTCAGGAGGACCCCAGGTAGTTTTTTGCATAGGGCCCCCAGAGTCTCTATTGGCTCAGCGTGTTTCCGCACATATAATATGTCATTATAGTGACAAATAAGATAATTTGCATACATATCTTAATGTTTCAAACGAACTTCCTGAGATTTAGGCCTATTCTTAAAAATGGCAAGGCAAGGTTTTGCATGCATTTTTAAGTAAATTCAACTCAAGTACATTTTAAGTAAACTGAACTAAAAATGATTTGTTTGCAATGCTCATCTTAATGTAGTTCAAGATAGATATTGAGTAAAAGCGAGTCAAACTTGTCGGCAATGCTTTGTGTCGGCATAACTCACAGCAATTCCACCAGCTTACTTGACACCCTTTATCGGTAGATTAGTTGGGATTAAGCGGTTTCAGAAAATAGATGGATAGATTTGGGTCAATTCAACTCATTTTTTCCTTTGTAAATATCACAATGTTTTTCCACAACAAAAAAAAATAAATTATAATATAAATGCAAACCTATCGTTGCCTTAGCTAACGTTATCTCGGTATTTCACAGATACAAAATGACGCCAAATTTAACATACATTGGAAAGTCTTTTAACAATTTTGTCAGCTCCATTTGAACTGCTGCTGCGGCTGAAGTGTTCCAGAGTTTTCTCATCAGTGTTGCTGTGTCTCATGAGACAAACAAGCAAATTCACCCCTGAAAACAAGCCCAAAATAAGCCCACTGTGCAAAGATGGAGAAATCAACCCCAAAGACGTGCCCAATATACACTATGTCACAGAACATATAGTTTGTCCTGTTTGCCATATTATGTGCGTTCCTTGTACATATAACATTTATATAACAGTAACTGAAATACTGGAGGCAAGGTTATAAAGCTTTAGCCTTTTATCAGTCATGCAATATCAAATTCTGGTCAAAAATTAAACGAGATGTAAAATGATGTAAATTCTTAAATTAATTGAGCCAGCCAAAATGACTGAAACTAACCCGCAAGGAAAGTAGTGAATTCATATGTGAATCAGAATGTAAACCTGAAAAGAATAGTCTGGATTGTTTTGGATCTCACCGGCAGTTTATATCGCCCGCCCGGGTCTATGTTATAACTGTCAGAAGTAGATTAATTTCTTTGAATGATAAATCATATTATAATAATTAGGATTTTCTTAAAAAGTACTAAAACCACAACAGCCCCCCCAAAAAAAACGCAACCCGCAACTCAATTAAATTCTAAGCGAATAAGCCCGAAGTCTTATTCGCCCGGACGTGGCAGCATATCACGTGGTTTTCTTCACATTACCAGTTGTCGGGTGTATAGGCCTACTCTATTTTTGTTTATGTTGCATATACTCTCAAATTTTAAGTGAAGCAGGCCAATTTAACTTCATCAGTAAAAACTATCGGGTTTTTTTAGTAACAGTTGTTCCGCCAGGGAGTGTTTTTTCAGTGTACTTGGGCCTGCTGTGTATCTTAGGTCTCTTAATGATACAAAAATGCTATCGAATATTTTTAGGGATAACTATATTGGAGTCTTCCTGAGATATATGTCCGTATAGACCCAAATAAAAGCAAAAATATATAAAGCCCAGAATGGTAACTACGATCGCCTACGCCTTGTTAGTACGTGGTCATGTGACGCGTCCTGCCGAACATGGCTACCTGCATGCTTGGCATGATCATAACCCGCGACTGGAGTGCTAATGACGACAGCCGGGCTCCTATCCCGACTCCCATCTTCAGCAGCGTACCTCTCACTGTTTATTTTCCACGGTCGCCGGTGCGTTAACACTCGGAGAGGGGATGACACGCCTGGCTTGCCTTACATCCTACATGCCCACTAGCGGCGGACCCCGCCACCCACGGTATTGCCCGTGAGCTATGGGCTGCCTGCATAGCCCGTCTGTGTGGGACGGAAATGAACCGGCGCCAGGCGCCAGGCACCGCAGCCTCAGCCCAGGTGGTTCAAGTCAGCGCCGCCGAGTGAGTAAGCTGGTGCGGTGCAGTGCGGTGCCGAGCCGCGCTCTGCGCACGGTACGTTCCGCGTGCTGCAGGCATCCCTGCCTGACTTGGGTTGCCGCCCTTCAATACATGGCATGAGACGACATTAGCGTAACTCTCTCTGCTCGACCACCTTTTTTTTTGCGCACCTTGCTGGAAATCAGCAAATGCAATGCGCTATTATTCATAAATCCATTTTAATTAGGCTATTATTTTAATCATTTGGGATTTTGGGAAACATTACGAGAGAGACGCGCTTGCAATTTTGATATTTTAATTGTGAATAAGTAGTCGTAGGAAATTAAGGAAAGTAATTAAATGAAAATATTCTTAGAAAATGTTTGCGAAGTCCAATGAATACACTCTTAGTTAAAAACAGGAATAAAGAACGCATTAAAAATATTGAGTCTGCCTTATGGGTGGCACGATTTAATGGAAATCCATGCGGCTTTGCAGCTGTTACTTCAACAGTACACAACAGACTAAACCTTAATATCGGTGTTATTACCTTGTGCAATCATCATGTTGACAAGAAAGATCTGGAAATAGCTAATATGGGTAAATTAATTATTTGCACTATCGTGTCAGTTACTACAAACTTTAAGGACCACCATGCCAGCCCATTATATACATAGAGCTATGTACTGTATATGCAACATTTCTCAAAACAAGCATGTAAAATGTTCTGCTGTATTAATACAGCCCCCCCCCCCTCCCAGAAATAGTATAGCTGCCTCTGATCAATGCAGAATAATGATTCAGTTGACTATTTCAGGCATTATCGTATATGTCTGCCAACAAATAAATGCAAAACTGTTCCTGTTAGCTGTCACACAAAATTATTTACACGTATGGGTACATAGGAATTCTTAAGTTACGATATAACCGACCTGACTCTCCTATGAAACACAGAACACACATATACTGTAGAGATGACGGATAATCTCCCAGTCATTTATCAGGCACCCCTGGAGTTTTTAGGGTTAAAGGCCTTGTTCAGGGGGCCAGCAGTGATGCGATCACTCTGTCGGCCATTAGGTTTGAACTGGCACCGTTCTGATGCGGTCCTAACCCGCATTATTTAAATCAATGTGTCTTACGAAGTCATTTTATTAAACGTCCACTAGATGGCAGTGTTTAAAATAGTCTTCCTAAATTCTGCCATGCTATTTATAGTTTAATAAGCAATCGTCATGCTAAAATTAATGAAATTAAATAAAATTTATGAAAAATAATGGAAATGTCTTTTAATAGAGTTTAGTAATTACCCATCTGTTGAGATTCCGTGATTTGTTCTTATTCTGTATGTTTTACTGTATGGTACGTCCCCATTCATAAAAATGTGTATTTGGATACTGTGTGTTCAGACATGAGAGGAGAAGATGCTCTTGTGCAGCTTCAGAGATGTTTTGTGCTAAGTGACAGCAGCTTAGGGACAGTGGAGAGGGACGGGCGACGCAGTGGGATCAGGCATCCTCCCAAGTCACTGCGACCCCCGTCTCAGGTTACAGCCCAAGGCGGCAGCCCTTGCATGCCTGATTTATGGTGATGAGCCAGGGTCCCTGGGAGAGGAAATGGCCCTGAACCTGCGCTCCCGGCACACGCCTGCGGGCAATTATGTGGGTCCGCCTGCATCACTTCCTGTCCAGCTGCAACCAATAGCTGAAGGTTTCTCTGATGCAAAAACGTCACAGTAATTGTCCCCTGTCTTATGCTTTAGTTACTTAAATTAGCTGAGTGAATTTTACTTGTTAATCAGCTAAATATTTTCATAAATATGCTTACATGTTAATAATATTAATCTGTTACACCTATATTCTTTCTTTTGGGAGTCTCTGTTGGCCACCGTTCTGATTGATGGCCCGCTGTGAGAAACCGTGCAAAGAGGCTTCGATAAGATAACAATCCTGTTTGGAATATGACGACGTATGACACTGCAATATAACAAACACTCAGATTAGCAGCACTGGTACCTAAATTGGGTTCTTGACAACTTATGGTTTGTTATTAATTATCTACCTAATGGTACATCATTATGGATTAAAAATTGTCTCCTAATTTATTTATTACCATATGTATATGTTATTTATTTTGATACAGAAGTTGTTTGTGGTACTGTGTATAGTCTGTTTTTGTCTTCTTGTGTGAGGTTTTGCTGTGCAGTGAGTAGTCACAAATAATTTCCTCAGGGATAAAAAAAACATTCACTGATTTTGATAGATTTTTAAATACAAGCAGATTATACACCAAACCTGGACAGTATTGCTTACAAGTTAAGGTGTTTCACACTTTTACCGTGCTGCTACTGATATGTGTGTATGTAATACTACAGGAAGTTTAAATGAGGGGCATGATTAAGAAGGGATGTCACACATCTAGAGGGAAAACTCGAACTTTCTTTAAAGAAAAAAAGGCTTGTTATACAGTGCAAACAGAAGCGTGCTTGGAGAAAGAGAGAAACAGAGCATTTTCAAACAGCAGTAGACATCAGCATTTTCAAAATTAGCTGTGTGTCCTCTGCGCATCGCTGTCGTGCCGAGTAATCACTTCTTGTGGACCGCATTTGAAAGGTCTTTTCCTTTATCTGAATGGCAATGAGGAACTCGGTCCTTAGGTTAACAGCTGTGTTTTTTGTTCTTAATTGCCTTTTTTAATGTCTGCGCAATTAATGAAGAGTTGACTAATTATGATGTGGCCGTGGACAGCTCAAGCCCTGAGGTCTTAGGTGGCTAATTGGCATTAATTGCCGGTAATTAGCTGGGTCTTTGAGTAAACCTTCTGCAGAAGGTTCTCTACGGGACTGGGGTGGTCTTCCATCCTGTAAATAATATTCACAGTGGCAAAATCGAGTCACACTCTATTCCCACTCTATTCCCGGCTGTTGCTGTCCTCTGGCTCAGAGGTGCTACTCTGTGGCTAAGCTGAGCCATTAATCATGGCATCTGTACACTGCTGTCTCACAGGCCGTGCAACACGTGTCTTTGTTTCACTGGGCGGGGGAGTGATTTATCATCAGTAGTGGACTAAGTAAGGATGGATCTGTGGGAAAGACAGATCTTACATTCAAGGTGGGTCACCTAAAGAAGACAGCCCAAAAGCAGGCTAGCTCTTTGCTTTGGGTAGGAAACCACTATGAATAGGCTACTTGTTATGAGCAGGCTCAGTGCTCTTGCGATTATTACTGCTTTGAACAGGCTTTGTGTGCAATTATTAATTAGAATATAGCCTTTTTTACATAGCATAATAACCATATACACATAATACTGAAGGATGCGCTACAAAACTTTCCAGCAGGGGGCAGTGTGTGGCTCAGTGGGGTAAAGTCACTCTGCCTGTAATCAGAAGGTCTCCGGTTCAAGTCCATCCTTGGCACGTCTACCACATCTTAACCCCCCAGCTCCCTGGGTGCCGCTGTGGGTGGCTGCCCTGCACGGCCAGCTTGCTGTCACCTATAGAGAGCATGTTGGGGGAGGCGTAAAGGGAATTTCCCCATGGGGATCAATAAAGTATCTATTATTATTAGCAGAACACCTACTAGTAGTTATGTAAAATAAATAATTACTATTATAGTTTAGGTATATAAAACTACTTATATCCTAACCCAAAATGTGACTTTTCCAGTTGAACTTTAATCTGCCTTTCCGTCATCAAAGCCGATGGTGCCGCCGTGTTTAAGTTTACCCACCGTTGGCCGCTTTCTGCATGAAAATTCCCAGTTTGTTTTTCATTGACCTGAGAGTGGATTGCAGCTGCTAAATCAGCCATTTTAATTTAAATCAGTTCCCTGATTATCCTGGTACAATTAAATGGTTACCAGGGCCAGAACAGATTGTAACTGTTAAGTGTTTATGTTTGTTTGTCTAGTATAACAGAGCCTTGATTTTCCTAATTGGTCACAATGGGTACTTGTACCGCTGACACTGATGATAATTTGCCTAATTAACGACTGCAGGCTAAATGGTGCGCCGTGCCAAAAGGGATCCATCCGTTTGTCCTCAGGTAATTGGAGCTGACTTCCATTGCAAGGGCCTATTACTGTGTCCGTCCCTTTTTCCATTGTTGTTATAGTTGTAATTGTTGTTTTTGTTTTAAACATTACACATAAGTTTTAGCTTAGTAATATTACATACAAGGTTTTTTTTTATTCACAACACAATGTTCTGAAGTGCTCAACTCAGGTTCATTGTCAAAAATGAACGTTTAGGATTTTATTAGAGCTGAACCGTCAAATGTCTGCTTACTTTTTAAATTCTGTGTGAGCAAATGTGATAATTGCTAAGATGTTCTCTTGGAGAGGACTCTGAGATAGCGATATTGCTACTCTAAAGGAGCTGTATACACAAAACGGGGTGATTAGATTGGATCTGAATTTCTCATTTGCGTGTACCATACCAAACTATGCATGCGGCAAGAAGGTGATTGTGTGGAAGATCTGATGAACATTGTGAAAACTTGTTTTATCTGTGATGACTTGAAACCTCCAGACAAAAAAAAACAAAAAAAACGGCAAGATGGTGTGATAAAGAACACAGGTTTGGCATGAACAGAAGTTTCCTGGCAACCATCAAGGTCAAACCAAAAAACCTACCCAATGGGGGGGGGGGTCCTTTTCGCTCCTGTTCCATTCAAGCTCTCAAGCTTGCTAGTCAGTTGGAAGAGCCATGAGTCCTGGACTCCTGAACACTATTCTTCAGCATCAACACTAGTATTTATTTTGTATTCTGTGCATATTACGATGGTGGCATCTCTGATGAGTGATGTTATGTGTCTGTGCACACGTGTGTTTGAGTTTGTTACCCTAATTTAATAAAGGGTTCAGAGGATACGACGTTGTGCTTTATTACTTAATGGTGAATGATGTTACTGAACAGACCCCAAGCCTTTAGTCTGAGTAAAGCTCCTACACTGTTGCGCCATCTAGTGTCTGCATGGTGTTATTTGCAATGTGTCCACATAAAAGCTGCCTCAGAGTGAAGCACATAGATCTCCTCTGAGAGGAGATCCAAACTAGATGTAATAGATGGGATTTGCTG